CTATAGGTCCTAGCTTTCTGGCTCTACTTAATTTATGCTTGACTGTATACAGGCTCAGTTCCAGATGCTTTTAAACAAGCAATTGTCCAGCCACTTCTTAAAAAGCCCAATCTAGATCCTTCAGTGTTTTCTAATTTTAGACCAGTGTCTAAATTATCTTTTATGTCGAATGTTTTAGAGAAGATTGTTCTTATTCAACTCCAGTCCTTTCTGGCAGATAACGGCATTGAGGAGCAATTTCAGTCTGGGTTTAAATTAAAACACAGTACTGAGTCTGCGCTTTTTAAAAATTGTCATTTTGTTGGCCAGGGACTCTGGGGATCTAGTTCTGTTGGTGCTTTTAGACCTTTCTTTAATACAGTGGATCATGGAATCCTCATATCTCGCTTGGAGCAGTGTGCAGGAATTTGTGGTACTGTTCTTAATTGGTTTAGATCTTACCTCATGAATAGAAGTTTTTCTGTTAATATTGGTAACTGTTCCTCCTCCTCAACTATCCTCTCCTGTGGTGTCCCCCAGGGGTCTGTACTCGGATCAACTCTGTTTTCCTTCTACATGCTTCCACTGGGATCAGTTCTAAGGAAATATGGCTTCTCTTTTCATTGTTATGCAGATGACATCCAGATATATTTACCATTAAAAGCAGCCAGAGTGATGTCTCTACAGCCAATGTTTGACTGCTTGACAGACCTGAAAGCATGGCTGACACATAACTTTTAAAAATTGCATGAGGATAAAATTAAGTGCATTTTATTTGGTGAGTTGGCTAAATTTACTGCTTTTAATCACGACTTAGGCCCCCTGGCTCATCATTTGAAGACAACTGTAAAAAACCTAGGGGTAACGTTTGACTGTGACCTAAGATTTGACAAGCAGATCAGCTCAGTCATAAAATCTAGTTTCTTTCACCCGAGGTTGCTAAGTAAAGTCATTTCTTTCTTTTAATGATTTTGAGACTGCAATTCATGCTTTTATAACCTCTAGACTTGACTATTGTAATGCATTATACCTTGGTGTTAATCATTCGTCTCTCACTCATCTTCAAATGGTCCAAAATGCTGCTGCATGACAACTTTTAAATCACTAGTTAAAACATATTTATTCACCTCTGACTCGTCTGGCAAAATCAAACTATTGCTTCAAAACCATTTCAGCAGCACTCAAAATCAAACAATGCTTTCAGATCATACACACAAGTCAATTATATATAGACACTGCAGCTCATTTATTAGACTCTACATCAAAAAATGGAGAACACAGCATCCAGGGCATGTAGTTACAA